CACCCCCACCCCATCCCCACTCCCACCCACAGGATAAACACTGAACATCAATAGAAGTAAATTTCAATATGTATTTACTGATCGCCCTGCTTGTGGATTCCTAACCCCTCCCCTCCCCTTCTGCCTTCCGATGCCAATCCCAACATATTTACATATACTTTAACATATCTACAGATGTTTGCTTCATGTTAACAGTCTTGTTATATTTATCGAAAACTAATTATTGGAATTTATTACTAATATTTCATTTCCTTGTGTTGTATTATTGAAGTATTTCTGGCAAATTATGAGTGTTCAAATATAAAAGGGTTGTATTGTCGTGTACGGGAATTGTCAGGGGAATTCTATTCAATTTCAAATTTCGAGTAATCGGCTAGTAGTCGTACCCTACGATAGCATAAATTAAACTATAATAAATATTTATGTACACATGCTGATGCTGCTGGTTAGGTTTAGGGTTAGGGTTGGGGTTGGCATTGTAGTAGTTCTTTGGTGCCGAAGGTACCGAGTTCGATTCTTGGTGTCTTCACTTAATTTTTTTTCTAAGTGAGGAGAAGCAAAATTTCTAAGTCACACTCGTGTGTTCGGAAACCTATGACGTACTTCTTTAATCCGTACACGACGATAGTACCTATAAAAGGTCTGTTTCTGAACGTAGTACATAACCTTATCAATAAGCTAGATTGCACGATCGCTGTAATATCGTAAGAATACATCAAGTTCAATAAAATAGGGAGAATTTTACCTTCCCATCGAAGTGCGGCGACTGAAAAAAAGGAAACGAAAGCTTAGTGTTTGTAAAATCAGTGATCAAACAACAACTTATCAGAATATCATGCACAAGGAGAATATACTTAGTTCGGGACAAACAAGCTTATACCTGGACCATTTTCGCCACACGAAGTGACTCTTTCCCGATATTGACCTTACATAGTTTACAGGAAGATCTGTTAGATTTAGCGTACTCTGCTTTATATAGAATATCTTCAGCCATTTCGAAAACAATGAGGAAAAACTCCTGAAAATGATGGAAGCTGACGAAAACAAGCAGGCGCTGTACTGGTGTGAAATTCATACAAGACCCTGGGGAGAGTAAAGGGAGGTTCTTGATTGGTCACATTTTCGCGCCAAAATTAGTGACGTCAAGTCGTCAAGAGAACGGCGTGCAAGTATGTTCTTGTTTAAAACTCCACAGGGATCCCAGTTTTTTTATTACTCTGCTTCTTTTCTTTATACTTCGTGTTATGTATATATCGAATTTCAATCCTTCTCGTCAAAATTATGTTCAAGAAACCACATTGTGGTAATAAGATGGCAACTATACAAAAATACTTAAAAAAGAGCGGGTTATTAGGTCGCTACGCAAACGCCATCTCTGACCGAATCTTCTCTAATGAAAGTGATTAGTGAGGAAGTGAGAGGAAGCCGAAGAAAAATGTTGAAAAGAATTTCTTAGTTAAACTTTTTTATGTTACTTTGTTAACTGAATAATTAACTGGGACCCACCACGCCGTAAAAAGTGGGCTAAAGTTAGTTAAAGTTAGGACTCAGTCAAAGGTAAATAATAGTTAGAACAGTAATGATGAAAAGGTAAATTATACACCGTGAAAAGATGAAAAAACGGAGACGAAGGACTAGCGTCCGAAACGTCAGTAAGTTTTTTCATCTTTTCACGGTGTATAATTTACCTTTTCATCATTACTGTTTCATTAGAAACACCGACGCAGCTCACACTAGTTTTTAGCTAGTGTTATGAGAGAGAAAATTAATGTTTTTACAGACTAAGCTAGACATCAGTTTTTTAATTACTATTTCTTATCGTATGAAAACAAGATAAAGAACGATCAATTAGTTATTGAAAATATCAATATAAGAGTTCAGTAAGGCTGCCATCACGCACGACGAGTTCAGATGATGGTATGCTTTGAATTTACAAGTAAACTACTTAGCTCCTCCCATTAGCATGTATACACCTATGGTTACGCCCTACACACTCTTTACCCCTTTGCTTAGTTATTTTAGCACTATTCTTTTAAATCTTATGATACATATATTCCTCGTAGACCTTTCTATACATTTACCATATATTCACATATTATCTTTAGTTTAAGTTATGTTTAGTTCTATGATTTTCACTCGTATTATTCTTAATAAGATATCACACTTAGGAATTTACTATTTCCATTAGCCAATCAAGGCACAGCGATRATATCATATTGATTGTAGAATGACACCTGTCATGAAGTTATTATAAATAGAGCTCATGTAATTAGTTTAAGTCAGAAGAGTAGAGATAGAGTATAGAAGAAGAGAAGTAGAATAAAGATCCCGAGTAGCTCTACCGAGAGCGGTCAATCCCATAACACTAGTTATATCTTCTTAATAGTTAGAACCTTCTTATCGCGTGAGTGCTGCTTGAAAAATTAAAAAAACAAAAGTAGATCTACTCCTAGATTATAATTTCATTACTAGTCTACATCGAAATCATGCTTTCAGTTCGACCCCAGTTGAGAAGCGTCACTGCTCGGCTGCTTGTGTTGTGAATAGCGATGACAAGTTTTTTTTTTAGAAAAAATACTATAAGAACGAAAGAAAGTACTCTGAGGAAATCACAAGAAAATTAAAGGAAAAAAGAAATTTTCGTGTGATAAGGATTAGGTAAAGAAGCTAATGAATAAAGCATTATTATATTTTTAACTCGGCAATCGTGTTGAACCTCAACAAAATCCGGTATGAACTTTGGAACTGGATACGTGAAAGTTTTTAAAACTCCTTGTTTCGATCTCAGCCGCGATGGAACTTGTCTTTATTCATAATCTTGGGGGATCTATTGGTAAACTATCGATATTTTCTTTTGGTTCGAATTCGCGCAGAACCCTTCCTTTATCAAATGCAAGCTTTGAAGGATACGAATGGCCCCGATTTTACAATGTAGACCAGTTGCAAAACTTAAAATTCTCAAGAGTTTCTAAGCAAATTACTCGCGCACGGCAGGACATCTCCTCAGCTTTATTGATATTTTTTCTTTTTCATTATCATGTTCGTGTAATTTAATTGACTGGAACACACGGGGAGTTTCTAAGTTTCCTTGACTTCTAAAAACTTTTAAACTCGTTGAACTCTTATACGACGCGGCTGGTGTCAATTTATTGTGTATAGGACTATATAGGAAGTCTGTGATGCATGCATAGCAAATACCATTGTTTAAGAGTATAACTAAGAAATATTCTCTTAAATATTTAAAATTTCTCTTTCTCATTCCTTTTTTATATTTCAAAAACAATAACTTTATTGTATTCGAAGAAGAAATTCGATTCAGTCAGAGATGGCGTTTGTAGTGACCAAACTCGCTCTTTTTTATCTAATTCTGGTGGTTCATCTTTTCATTCGTCCTTCTTTTCAAGACGGACAACGTGAAGTTGACTTCCCAGCAATTATTCCCAACAGTTTCCACTATCAATATTTTTCGTTAAAGAAAACTAGTCGAAGGTTTTCTCGCGGAAGCATTACAGCCGTTCAAGTGTAAGATGAGTTAGCGTGCCTGCAATATTGCACTCGTATCAAAGACTCATGTACATCTGTCAACTTTAAGGAACAAGCCAAAAATGGTCTTCATTTGTGTGAAATTCTGACGAGCGACAGTCATCTCAGACCTGATGGTTTAAAAGAAGATGGGAGATTCAACCACATATATCCAATGGTTAGTATATCTTAAACTGTTTTTCAGTTACTTTTTTTTTGTTATTATTTTTGGGAGTTCAGCTAGCTAAAACAACAGCCCATCTTTCTCTTCACTTATTTTATTAATTTTGAAAAAATGATTAACTTAACCAGTAGTTAGTATAGTGCCGTCAACTTTGATTTATTTCTTTTATAGATTTTCTCCTATCGTTCATGTGCAGAGGTCCCATTGAAGATCAGTGGAGTATACCATATTCATCCAATCTCTCAACATCCAGTACCTGTTTTCTGCGATATGACAACCACTGGGGGAGACTGGACAGTAATCCAGAAAAGAATGGACGGCTCGGTCGACTTCTACCGTAACTGGGACGATTACAAATGGGGATTTGGTAACAAGTCAGGAGAGTACTGGTTGGGATTGGAAAACATACACGCGATGACGTCACAGGGAACCTACCGCTTACGATTCGACCTTGAGGATTTTGAGGGGAACACTCGATATGCAGAATACAACTCTTTTCTTGTGTCTAGCGAAGCGGATAATTATCGTGTAACGATTGGTTCATACTCAGGTAATTAATTTAGCTATTGATATTCCTGATTTGATTCGTTGGTTCGTGGGAAGCACAGAGGTGCATGGTGCCCTGTTAATTACACCATCTCTCACCACTCGTTTCATTGGGTTGCCTTCCTTGGTCAACCTGGACACTAGCAAGGGCAGATCCAGCCAAAAAAGGGGGGCTAATTGAGTTTAGGGGGGTGGGGGCTAATTGAGTTTCTTCCGTCAACACAACGGAAAACAATAAAAAAAGCATCTAATTCTTCAGTTTTGTTTTGTTTTGTTTTTCTGCTGAAAGGGAAGCTCCCTGAATCCGCCCTTGACTAGCTTATGTGAGTAGAGGTGCTAAGTTGTTCCTGTGAAGTCATTGCAATTGAATTATTGAACAAGGATCTCAGGCCAGCCATTGGCTATGAAGGAATACCATTAATATAATTAATCTAAAGAGGGATTGGATTGTATCTCGTATAGGAACAGCAGGTGATTCCTTTAATTCTGCTCACAATGGAAGGCAATTCTCCACCAAAGATCGCGACAATGACTCTAATGATGCTGGACACTGTGCAGTGTTGTTCACAGGTGCTTGGTGGTATAATGGGTGTCATAATTCCAACCCTAATGGCCAGTACCTTGGTGGTCCAAATTATCATAATGGAAAAGGAATAAACTGGTATACATGGCTGGGTTTATATTATTCACTTAAGAAAGTTGAAATCAAAATAAGACCAGTTTAGCCTGCTAGCTTCCTGGTTTCCTCAATCAAAAAGAATGAGTCATTCCAAAGTCATACTTAACCCCAATTTATTCTTGTTCGCCTCTGCTATCCTTGGTCTAGCATTTATTTCTTTTTAACAAGATGGACTTTTTTGCATATTCTTTGCCATATTATGTTTACCCACTTGTCTGATCCCTAGTTTATGCTTCTATATTTCATCTTTCACATGCAGCATGTTCTACTACCTGCCTTGTTGTGTCAGTAGATTTTTCTAAAAAGCTTTATAGTTTTCATTAGTAATATCTTATAGTTGTATAGCTTTGGTGATTAAATGCTCCACTGCTAACGAATTTGTACACTTCAATGTATCGACTAACAAATAATTTCTTCTAGTATATGGTCTATAACAAATCCTGCACTCTGATTGGCTGAGCTAACTGTGGTCCATAAGTGATCATTTTATTCATATAGCACTATTATCCAAGAATATTGTACAAAGCAATCACTAGTAGCAAAAAGTAGTAGTTTTAAAGACCAAAGCAATGCAAAAATAATCTATTATAACCTAATTTTCTGGTTGCTTGTTTATTGGTTGTTTGCGTGTCATGACGGTTTTTTATTGGTGGACATGGTCCCGGCTGAATTAGCTGCACTGTAACATTGAATCAATAATTAAACCACGTTCTAATACAAAAAAATTTGTCCTTGAAAATCGAATTTTTGTGCTTGAAAAGTTGCTTAAAAAGTCCTTGAATTTTGTATCGAAAGAGTAGCACGAACCCTGACTTATTAAACCTATTAGTAGTAGGTTTATATTAAAACCATAAGATCTCTCTCTCTCTCATGGTCTACAAGTTAATAGTCAATAAGCTATTGACTCATAGACCATCCAGGCTGTGGGTCTAATTGCTAAGTGTTATGAATAAAGTTCTGATCTTCATAATTATTAGTATTATTATATTTTGTGAGGGAGTCCCAACTCCGCTGATTGTGGTGTCCCTAAATATAGTTTCTCTAAAAAATATTTCAGTCTTTCTTTACAGCTCCAGCACCAAACTTCAACTCTCTCTCAAATTGTTCTGCTGTAAACGTCCCATCAATGGTCTCAAAATCCTTATTAAAAACAGAATAAGCACTTGGCTCCCATGGCTTGCGGGTGCCTTCCTTCATACTAGTGTAAACCCAATAAAACATCGATAGTACGAAGAAAACTGTACCAAATTCTAAAAGTATAAATATCCTCCAAAGAATCAACCAGAAAACAATCTTTAAGAGCAGAATCCACACGTCCAAATTGATGTCCAAAGTTAAAACTCTGTTTAGTGTCGTCTTGCTCCATTCAGGAACTTTGAATAAGCCAAATATTTGATCTTTTTGCTTCTTTGCCTTGTATTCTTGAGCTTTTTGCGCTCGAAATTTTTCTAGTTCTTTATCCATGAGAAACTCCTACACTAACGAACGATTCTAGCTGAGGATTTTGATATATTTTGATTCTTCAAAACATTGAGTTTTTCCTTCCAGATGGTCCGCCATTTTGTTTTGTTTGACGTCACAAGTTCCAAAAGACTGGTACTAGTGACCAAAATAAAAGTACAATTTTAAATAGTGAGGGAGGGGTAGGTACAGAGATATATTTTCTCGATATTGATTTTAAAATATGTTAATATTTATAGAGTGTTTTCATATTACATTCTAGAATATATGATTTTCTTTAAAGTCTTTCAAATTAAGCTAATTCAATTTGGATTTTCACTAAAAAAAATTTGAGGGCCCGCATTTTCTACTCCACCCCCCTCCCCCTCCGACTTAAATGCTGGTCCCTTAGGACGTGGATCATTGTATTGATCATGCTCGAATGACTTGATATCTCCAATGACTTGTAATCGTCTAGTAAAAGTACTGTACTGCTACTGATCACGCTGAGCAGTTCAGCTGTGTTTTTAACATTCATCAGACGAAATACTAAACTTTTCTTTACAATGGCTCCTACTATTTTGGCCGGACAGGCAAAAGCGAAACCAAACTTGGGTGAGAAACTCAAAATTTTTATGTAAAAAGTTCGCTGTAATATGAGTAAAAATTCTAATTCTTGCATAATTCTACCAACACGATATCGAAGAAATGTTACAGAAGAGTTTGTTTCTTTACTTATCAATGTACATAGATGTTAGACAGCGAATTGAAGCCACGTTGAAGAAGAGAATCATGATTTTTGATGGCGGTATGGGAACTATGATTCAAAACCACCATTTTGAAGAAGCTGACTTCAGAGGTGAGTTACTATTAAATAAAGCTAAAAATACCAATATATACTCAAATAATATTATGGTTACAAGTAGCTCTTGTATTTCTCTTTATAAAATGAACTTTTTATATTGATTTCGAAACCAACGCTGAAAATGTTTACAATTTATTGTCCAAGTTTTGATAGTGACACAGGAAGCCCATGTATCCTAGGCACTACACCATTTTATAGCTCTCTTTACTATATATCTTGAGGTCCAAATAATTAGCACATGTTGGACAGCATGCACTATATTTACTAGCTTAAGGACGTTCGTGGGCACTGTTCGTGCACATCCTTTCTACGCATGAATTTAGTGAGCACGCGCTCATCGTGATGACATCATTCCAATGTTTTGATAAGCAAAATCTCATATAACTGTATTTAATCTCTTATAGCTCTAAAACGAAGTTGGGCACCCCCCTTTTTTATTTCATATTTTGAAAGTACTTGGTAATGCCTAACTTTAGAGGAAAAATTTTTTTAAAAATTGACAATGGGATCAAATCGAAATTACACATTTCGTATATAATCGGAATATAATTTCACGTAACACGAATGCTTTACAGTAAGTCCATACTTGTAGCACAATAACATTTCATATTTCTATCATTCTTGATGCAAATTACAAATGCTACCTATTCATTTACTTATTTTCTAGTCTTCTATAAAAAATTGGGACCACCAATTAATTTTTTCAATAAAATATGACAGCTTTCCATTCTGATGGCTAGACGAAGTCAAAGACCCCGATTTTTTATTTGCTCTTCTTACTTCTAGTATGATGTTCTTTTACCGTGCAAAATTTTTAAAAAATCTGACGATGAGATCTTTTGCCCATAAAAACATCCTTAAGCCAAGCTCAAGCTGGTGCTCATTAAATGTTTTTAGTGTTTTTAGCCAAAAACCCAGATTACTAGAATCATAGCTTGTTGTCTAGGCAACAAAGTTATGAAAATGGTATGATTGCATTTGTTCAGATGAGATGATGAAATTTTCTACTTTATATTATCCAGATAGAAGAAGAACAGAACAGATATAAATTATGTTGAAATAAAATTATGGCAATAAAGCATAAAGCAGTTTATTATATAATTACCAATGAAATATCTATTTTTCTCTATTTTGAAAAATTGATATCTTCACACGTGAAAATAACATGTTATTTTCACGTGTGAAGATAACACCATTGCGATGGCTATTCAAAAATACACGGAAAGAATTGCCTGAAAAAGCCAAAACATACTTCATTGATAATTATATAATAAACAGGATATTACATGGCCGCTTGGAGATACAAATTTATCTTCTCATGTTGAAAATCTTTCACTCGTTTGCTACGCTCTCTCGTGAGAGATCTTTTCAACACTTGAAGATAAAATTCGTATCTCCACGCGCCCATGTAATATCCTCTATTTATTTATCGATAAGCTTTAATTACTAAATGATGTGGTGTAATTTGTGTTCAACAGGGGAGGAATTCAAAAGCCATCCCAAGCATCTGAAAGGAAACAATGACTTGTTAAGTTTAACGAAACCTGACGTTATTCATAAGATACACAAGGTATTAGGAGGGTTTTATTGGGTTTTATAGACTGTTCTTGAAAGGGGGGATGTAAGTGGGGGGAGGGGCGAAGAAGGTGGAGGGGTGGGGTTAGGAGAAGGGTAGTAAACTTTTAGCTAGGAAACAAATTGGTTATACTATAAAGAATAGTAATATAAAATTTATAAAAAACATTTCTGTGGAATAAATTTGGTTGAATAATCCTTGAAAGTATTTCTTATCTATATGATTTTTCAGGATTATTTGGAAGCAGGTGCAGACTTTGTCGAAACTAACACCTTTAGTGGAACAAGTATAGCACAAGCAGACTACGGACTAGAACATATGGTACGTAAGAAAATAGTCAAGAAAAACGCAGAATCAAAATATATAGCAACCAATTTGAATAACAGTTGTTCTGCATTAACAAGTGACTGACTAGTCTTATGTTCACATGGATACATAAAAGCTTTTTCCCTTGTATGATAGGCTATAGTCAGTTGCTATATAGTAGTGAAGAGCAATAGTTATTCAAATTGGTCTGCATTTTTGATTTTAGATATATGACGACCAATTTGAATAACTATTGTTCTGCACTGACTAGCGACTGATCAGCCTCGTATTCACATGGATACTTAAAAGCTTTGTCAATTGTAAGGCTATAGTCATTTGCTATATATGTACAGTGCAGAACAATAGTTATTATAATTCAAATTGGTTGGAATATCTGGGTTCAGCGTATGCTGTGGTAGAAAATGGTTTGCAGTAAGACTGTGATGCATATCCAAATGTTTGTATATCGTTCATAATATTGACGTTTGATTAGTTGTTTTAGTTTTTATAGTAATATTAGTTACTAGTTCTAGTAACAACTAGTACTCATACAAATAATCATTATTCTCATGATATAACATGCCATGAAATGGGAAAACATTAGACCCAATTTACAATAGATTGGAAGTATTGTTTTCCATAAATTTGAGACCATTCATCATTCCCTTGAATATGATTTTTTGTTACCATACTTGTCTAAAACAATTTGTAGCTTGACGTAAATGGTCTCTTACCTTCACAGTGACATGACACTTGATCTGTAAGAGCAGAACACAATTTTTATCAAAGTAGAATTAATTTGAAATGAATTGGTTTCTATATATTTATATGTTTATGTATATGCAGGTATACAGGATGAATAAAGCATCAGCGGAAATTGCTAAGAGAGCAGCACTGGATGTAACAAATTCCACAGGTATTAACACTGCCTGATTTTACTCTTCACAGCATGGGTACATCCAAGATTTTGGGGGATTTATATGCGTAATGTTAGACTTATAAATATATTTTGAATGTTTGTTGTTTAGGTGTTGAACGATTTGTAGCTGGTGCTTTAGGACCAACCAACAGAACACTGTCCATATCGCCTTCAGTAGAATGTCCTGGCTTCAGAAATATCAGTGAGTAACACTATTCATGGTTTGTGTGTGGGGAGGAGGAGCAAGAACAGGTCAGGGGTGGGGGGTGGAGGGTAGGGGGTGGAACACACTTGGGGTGGGAGTCTTGGTTAAAGCAGTATGGAGAGTTTTCATAAGACCTTGCAGCTGTCATGTTGGTTTACCAAAACAATACATGTTTGTTTGGTTTGATTGTTTGGTACACTAATATGACTGCCTGTCACATGAGTGAAAACACTCTATGTAGTTACACTGTACTGCTGTTTTTGCACCCCTTATACGCCATTCTCATAATGGCTGACAAGTGCAAGTCATTAGTTTATAATAGAAGAAATAAAAGCACATGAAATGCATTTATAGAAGGAAAGTAAAGAAAAGTATAAAAATTGACTTTTTGTTTTGACCTGAATTTGCGCTACATCCTGTATATCCCTTTATTTTGTATGAGCAGCCTTCCTCAGCCTAGCAACATGACTGGGTGGCCTGGTGCGCTTGTCTGCCATTATGAGAATGGTGTATAGAGTATTTTACAGTACTTATGTTCATCAATATTTTTCTTATTTGTTCGATTAGCCTTTGACCAGCTTGTTGAAACATACATGGAACAGGCCAGAGGACTACTGGATGGTGGAGCTGACATCTTATTGGTTGAAACCATCTTTGACACAGCAAATGCAAAGGTATACTTCAATTATTTTGTAATCGCGCGTTTGATTTCAGACCAAATTGCACTCCACTCAGTGCAATTGCCATCATTTATCTTCACAGGCTGCTTTATTTGCAATTGATAAGCTTTTTGAAAAAGAATACAAGGAAGTACCAATATTTGTAAGTATTTCCCTTTTTTATAGTTTTTTCATACATGCATCTTAAAATGGAGAAGCATGATTGTTGTTGTTAACTGTCAACCAGATTCGGCTGTTATTAACCTCCTAGCATCCTATCATATATCAATCAAAAACCTGTCTAAGTCAAAAATGTTGTGCTGTGCTAGGTATCTGGAACAGTAGTGGACAAAAGTGGTCGCACACTTTCAGGGCAGACAACAGATGCATTTGTTATCAGTGTTTCACATGCAAATCCTATGTGGTAAGTCTTAAATGCCTTCAATAATTTTATCCCATTTTTATTGCATTCTTTTCTGTTTATTTTATCCTTCCTTTTTCAATTCAAAAAATGGTTTATAAATATTTGCAATTCTTTTCATACTATCACAGTTCTTATGATGTTGTTTTTGTCTTTTAGCATTGGTCTTAACTGCGCTCTTGGTGCTACTGATATGAGACCCTTCATTGAATCCATTGGCACCAATACAAGTGCATACGTCATATGTTACCCAAATGCTGGTAAGTGTAGTTGCTCGCCAACTAAAATGAACTTGTTGCCCTTTGCGCTTACCATCTCTATTTTATAACTGATTCTATTTTTTTAAATGCAGGTCTTCCCAATACCTTTGGTGGCTATGATGAAACTCCAGAGACAACTGCTCATCATTTGAAGGTACAGAGGGGCATAGGTTGCATACACTGCTAATGAGTTGTCTTTCACCACAGTGAGTCCTATGGGTCAGGCCGCAGGTTCAAGCCCTGTGGATGCCACATGCTCTCCCTTGCCATGAGGGTTTTTCTCCGGGTTCTCCTGGTTTTTCTCCCTCTGTAAAAATCAACATGTGAATCAAGTGTTGTGTGCATAAAATAGAACATGTAGTGGTAGTGAGAGTGCGTGAAAGCAGGCCCGCATCAGCGAAGGCTGCCAAAAAAAGTGGTCTGCTTTAACATAAAAGATTATTGTTATTATTAAGGTCCCTTAAGTTTTTAAAGCATTAAGCATTTTTATCCTAAGGCATTGTTACTAGACAAGTATAGTTAATACAGTATGGCTGCAAGTTCAACATGTTTATTAATTATGTTTATTTATATCAGTCATTTGCACACGATGGTTTGGTGAACATCGTTGGTGGATGCTGTGGAACAACTCCAGCTCACATCAAGTAAGACTAGAATTAAATCTCATCTCAGGTTTACTATAATATATTTAGGAACACTAAAATGGTGTTTTATGTGGATGTAGTTTGAAGAATTTCATGATTTGACACCCAAGTTCCAATTATTTTGTGACTATTATTACATACCTTTGGGGGACTATTTTCCAACAGGACATTTTGTCAGTGGCATCATTTTGCTATGACAACCAGGTCAAAGTAGCAACATCCCAAGGAAAGAAAAACTAAGAAAATGCAGCTTTACAAAGCAATTTGGTTGTAGTAGTTAATAATACAATCATGAAAAAGCATTCTATTGAGCAGACAATATTATTTTATATAAAATATGACTAATGTTGTATGTTATATGTAGGGCAATAGCAGAAGCTGTAAAACCCTACCATCCAAGAATACCTCATGGTCTGTTTGAAGATGCATTGTTGCTTAGTGGTAAGTGTCGTACCATAAAAGATTGGAAACCTATAGAACATCAAATATACCTGTTCAGCCATCATCATGATCCATCATCATCATCACCACCACTGCCATGATCAGCAGTAGTAGCAACTCATTAGCATCAACCACCATCATCATCAACAGCATCTTATTGGCATCATTGTCTCTTAATTTCATCTCATCATCATGCACCACCAACACTATCACCAACAACACCCACTATCCCCATCATCATCATCATCATCATGACAATTATCATCATTGCCACCACTGCTATGATTGGCAGTGTTGTAGTAACTGACACTGGACTCTGAAGATGACTTCCGCTCAGGTTGTCAAAACATCAGTCACTACCAACAGCAGTCTTTCTCGAGACTACACTCACCCGGACGATCACATTTCACACCAAACTTCAACACCTGGGTTCAAACCATTTACTGTTAGTAGCAACTCATTAATATCAACCACCATCATCATCAACAGCATCTTATTGGCATCATTATCTTTAAATTGCATCTCATCATCATGCACCACCACCACCACTATCACCACTAACACAACCATCATCATCACCATTATCATCATCATGCACCACCACCACTATCACCACTAACACCACCATCATCATCACCATTATCGTCATCATCACCATCATCAGCATCATTGCCTTCATCATTACTAGCATCAAATTTTAGATTAAATATCCAATCTTTGTAACATTAGGAATGGAAGCATTTCATATCACACCAAGTGTAATATTTGTCAATATTGGTGAGCGATGTAATGTAGCTGGATCAAGGAGGTTCTGTAGGCTGGTCAAGAATGGGAAAATGGAGGTACAGCAATTGCTTAATAAACATTCATTCATTCATCCATTCCTCTCTTGTTTATCGTTTTGAAATTGCACAATATTTATCACTGTTAATATTTGTGGTTTTCCAGGAGGCTCTAGCCGTTGCCAAGTTACAAGTGGAAAATGGTGCCCAGATTCTGGACATCAACATGGATGAAGGCATGTTGGATGGCATTGCTAGCATGACCAAGTTTACCAACCTTATAGCATCTGAACCAGACATTGCTAAGGTGTGTAGGGACTCCTGGAATAAAGCAAAGTGAAGGAAAGGGAAAGATGGATTGGGATGGGTAGAGATGGGAAAGAAAGCAATGGCAAAGAAAAAGGGAGGGAGGGTACTTTGAGAAAGGATATATAATGTAAGAAAGGATATATCTTGTATATGGCAAGAGAGAAAGAAAATGAGAAGGAGATGGACAAGTTCCAAGGGGAGAAAAAGAAAGAAAAAGAAATGTGCAAAGAGTTTGATGGACCAAACAGTCGTTTAGATCGAGGACCAGTCCAATGAAAGGGTTTTGGGTAGAAAAAGGGATTTTGGACAAAGGGAAGGGAAGAAACTGGAAGGAGGGATGGAAGGAGAGATTTATGAAGGATGGAAGGAAAGCAACATATTGTTTTGATGCTTACATACATTCAGTATTCATATATTCCATTTACATGGTTTGTTTATTGTTGATAGGTCCCCTTGTGTATCGACTCGTCCAATTTTGATGTGATCGAAGCTGGTCTTAAGTGTGCACAGGGCAAGTGCATTGTCAACAGCATTAGTCTGAAAAATGGTGAAGAGGATTTTCTAGAAAGAGCTCGTCTGATTAAACGATACGGCGCTGCAGTGGTAATAATGGCATTTGACGAGCAAGGACAGGTGAGATGTTACTGGGTTAATTCTATTTCGAATTTCAGGAAATACCAGATGTTTGTTGTTATTAATTCAATGATCTTGAATTTGTACCACCTGTTCAATAGGCTGCAGATTGTGAAAGAAAGGTTGAGATCTGCACTCGGTCTTACAACCTTCTGGTTGATAAAGTCAAGATGAACCCGAATGACATCATCTTTGATCCAAATATCCTCACCATAGCAACGGGAATTGAGGAACATAACAATTATGGGAAATATTTTATCGAGGCGGCCAAAATTATTAAGGTATTGTTAATGCTACTTGAAGACATAAAGTGCTTTTGGAATGAGTGAGAAATAATACAGTGCAAGTCTTCAAGTTTGTAGCTGTACTGTAGCGGTACCATTCCTTACCACAGCTGTAACTCTGCACTGTGATTGTATGAATCATTGGAAACTTTTATTGGCCAGTTACAATGACCTATTTCAATGTGTCTCTTTCAAAAGATGTCAGTATTTACACTTCTGGTTGACATTGCTGTTGTAGATTTTGCAAATCTTGAATTCCTTACAGTTGGTTTCACAAAACCTTGGCTGCTTTAACTCCGAAGTTAGTTCCCAAGTTCTCCAAGTTGGTCCTGAACTTGCGAACTTTTTGTGAAATTCATGGTTCAATCAACCGTGACTTGTTTATGTCTAGAATTCAAATATTTACTGGAATTGCTTCTTTAAACCATATACTTTTTGAAAATTGTATTCCAGACAACGTACAGAGTCAAATTCCTTTTGTCGCAATAAAATTCACTTTGAAAATTGAAATACTGTATTATCAGTTTGAAAGATCGCCGACAACCGTCAGAACTTTATAGTGAAATTGATTACAAAGTTGTGAACTTGTGAACAAACTTCAGACACGGAGTAGCCGAAGTTTTATGAAGTCAACTGTAAAATCTACTCTTCTGTGACTGTTAGTTAATTCATGATTATTTCCAACAGCAAACACTACCTGGTGCACGTGTCAGTGGTGGCCTGTCAAACTTTTCTTTCTCCTTCCGTGGCATGGATACTATCCGTGAAGCTATGCACAGTGTTTTCCTATACCATGCTATTAAGGTAATAAACCAAAATAAACCAAACAGAGTTGTGATCTTTTGACTTCAGTCATTCATTCATTCAGTCAATCTGGGGAGAGGGGGAGGGGGATTGGTTATCTAGCTATTGCTGGGCTTCAATCAGTCTGGTAAAAAGTCTTGTAATTCCTTTCTCTGCTCCAAATAGTGTTCAAACACTGACCACCATGTGCTGTCAGCCATAGCAAATTCTATTGAAAACTTGCGATTGAACATTCACAGGAGACTCTCTTAATCTCTAATGAAACCTGACTGGTTTTATCTAGAGGGTGACATGTGACAGTTGACGTAGCAGTTGACAACTGATAAATTTGTTGCCTTCTGTGTGAAACATCTCTAATTGAGCCAGTGTAGCCATTTTATGTGGTCATCCAACCCATGTCTTACCACGTCTTGTATCTTGTTATGAAAGGGTTACACTGTTAACTTAATATTAATCCTTCAGGTGGGCTTAGATATGGCGATCGTTAATGCTGGTATGCTTCCTGTATATGATGACATTGAATCAGGTCTTCTACAGCTGTGTGAAGATTTGTTATGGAACAGAGATCCTGATGCTACTGAGAAGCTCTTACTGCTAGCACAGGTAAGTATGGTGTAGCAGTAATACACTTGCTTCTTACCTCTGGGGTTTCCAGTTCAATTTCTGGACCCAGTATGACATGTGAATAAAATTTGTTGGGTATCTCCCTTGATTCATGTGAGTTGAGGGTTGTATGTTGTAAATATCTAGAATGTAGTGGTAGTGCTTGTGGAGGGAACCTCACGGAAGAGCCCCATATTATCCAGTTTACTCCCTCTGCAAAATCACGCTGAATCCCATTTCAGTCTGTGAGTTAGCCATGCTCTGACCTAGCTCGAATCAGAAAGATTGTTTCAAAATTTTATAAAATTGATGTCTAGTTTTTTCTTTTTATGGAGGGGAGGGGTGAGGGGATGGTACGAAGGTTTTTGAAAACCTACTTATGATCCTTTGTCTTTTTTGTTGTTAGTCCATGGGTGCTGGTGCCAAGAAGCAAGTCATCACAGATGAGTGGAGAAACTGCCCTGTAGAGGAGAGACTTGAACATGCCCTTGTCAAGGTGAAGGGATGGAATTGGAAAAAGAAATGAAAAGAAAAATGGGAATGAAAAATGCAAAGTGGAAGTCAAGATACGAGAGAAAATGAAACTGAGGGCCAGGATTTTCATAAAAGCCATGTGACAGATGGTATAAAAGGAATGGAAGTAAAATGGATAAGGAAGTGAAAATGAAATGGGAATGAAATGAGAATGACAATTTTTTGATTGACAGGTTATTGACAAGTATTAGAAGACACACAAAGAAAATTTAATAATATCGAAATGAGTGTGATATTAAAAATGAAATGAAAACATAAAGTTTTTCTGAGGCTTTATCACATGCTTTTGATTGACAGGGTATTGACAAGTTTGTGGTAGAAGATACTGAAGAAGCCAGGCTGTGTACAGAGAAATATCCACGTCCTCTCAATGTAATTGAGGGACCGCTCATGAAGGTTATTATTATTATTATTATTATTATCATTATTATTATTATTATCAAATTCGTGTTGATAGAAAATATACGTTGTTCATATTCTTATGCATGTGCGTATAATGTTGAGTGTACNNNTTAATTTATTTTACAAATATGTTTTTATCGATAAATAAGTAATTTGTACATATATTTGTTATTTTATATTCATAATCTCTTTTTTATTGTTGTATTATTATTATTATTATCATTGTTATTATTGTTATTATTATGATTATTATGATTATTACAATATTGAAATAATTATTATAGTTATTAGTAATTATAAGTTATCTTTTTATTTTGGAGGGGACATTCAAGTGAATTCCTAATCTTTAGCCAATGAGATTAGCTATTAACACTTTGATTGATAGGTGAAATCCATTTGAGTGCCACCACCATTTTGCTAAACGTTGGGTCGTCACATTAGTTGCAACATAAGTAGTCCTTCATTGTGTTTTTTGTCTTATCGATATCTATTTTTGCAGGGGATGGGTGTGGTCGGTGACTTGTTTGGAGCTGGCAAAATGTTTCTTCCTCAGGTAAACTTTTTTGTTTCTAAAGTGCATTGTACGATTAACTACAGTATCTCTCAAATATTATCATTGTAAGTCACTAGGGACGTTATTAAAAAAGAAAAAAAGACCAAAAACAATTCAAGAAAAAAAAACTTTACTGCGGTTTTCCATATACTTACCAGATGTTTTTCATGTGTTAGGTGATCAAGTCAGCTCGAGTGATGAAGAAGGCTGTTGGTCATTTAATCCCATATATGGAGAAAGAGCGACAGCTTGCACTGGCCAATAATGAGAATCAAGACGATAAGTCATTGAAAGTAATGTCACTGTTCCTCAATATGCTCTGATGTGCTATTTTGTTAAGCTTTGCTGTACAGTGCAGTGTTCTTCTACGCTGTGCTGTGTTGCTCTGTTCTGTGCTGCTCTGTGCTGTGCTTTCCTCTGCAGTTCAGAGTGGTGCTACGCTGTATTGATGTTCTGTTCTGTGCTATTCTGCTCTGCCTCGTTTTGCCGTGCTGTGCTTTGCTGTACTGAACTGTACTATGATTTATCCATTTTTAAGGATCAGTATAACGGCACTATAGTGCTTGCAACAGTCAAAGGGGACGTTCACGACATTGGTAAAAACATTGTGGGTGTTGTTCTTGGATGCAATAATTACAGGTAAGCCATTTCTTCGCTCACGCGTCCTAGTTTTTCTGTAGTTGTTACTACTTATTATCAGCGCTTTTGGCTAGTGTATATCAGACAGCATTACTGTCGTTCTACTCTAACCGTAATCACTTAACACTTAATGGCTGGTCCCGTGCGAAACGAAAAGTTTTGTTTCCCCGAGAATCTCGATGTTTCCCGGAGAATCTCGATGTTTCCCGTTATATAGCTATAACTTTTTCCTCTAATGCACGCGCTCTCATTGGTTGATTCGTGGTCACATGACATCTAACAATGAAACATGTATAAAACCTAATCAAGGAGATGAAATGATAAAAGAGAAACAAAAAATGGATTTTTACACTAATAACAAATAATTGCGTGCAACGGTATGGATAAAAAAGGGATAAAAGTATAAAAGCTTATAATTCGGCCTTAAAAAAACGTCTAGACTCCGTACGATCCAGCCAACCGAAGTCCATTCCATTCCATCCATGTACGGTTCCGGATTTTCCAAAATTAAAAAACACTCAAAATTCGGGATTTTAGAGGAGGAAAACAAGTTTTAGAAGTTGGGCATGTTTTTGCTATACATTAAGATTAACCATGGCCTTCGTAAAGGTCAAAATTCGAAAACAACATTTTTTGTGATTCAAGATCCAGTCACTGACTGAGGCCCAGTCACTTGCAATCCATTCCAGTCACATCCAAGTAACTTCCAATTTATCTGAATAGCATCTTAATTGAGAAAATTTAGTCGTAAAAATATGTAACGATCACCTATAGACACATGTATACGCAGTCCTTTGAGAAACTTTTACCGCGGCTGCCATCTTATTGAGTTTCTTGGTCTGAAATCCAAAGATCACCTCAAAAATCCAACAATTCTGCACTGTTTTCCTCAATTCAGTTTTGAGAGCATTTCGAGGTGTTTAGGGTGTTTTAGCAGCGTTAATTCTCGTACCAACTGGAACTGAGTACAGTAACACCTAACGTAGCACCTGTGGTCTCTTTAGGAAGTAACACCTAACGTCGAGCTAACGTGGAATGTAGCTTAAATAACTATATTAATATATCTATCTAATTGAGCTGATCTGCGCAGTATATCAATCAATTTATGCAGCTGCTAATCATAAGACTCAGAAAAAATCTGGCTTTAAACCCGTGCCCTAGCGATTCCGATGCCATGCTCTAACCACTGAGCTAAAAAGATTCTTTGTTTATCTTGTAGAGTGATTGACTTGGGTGTCATGACACCTTGTGAAAAAATCCTGAAGACTGCAATCGAAGAGGGAGCGGGTGAGTTATTATAGTTTTTATTTGTGCCGATTGATCTATCAATCCTTTGGTCAGACGTCGACCTAAACATGAGACGAACCTAATTGAAACAATGGATGACAAGGCGGTCTTTTTTGGTGTCATTAGGTTCGGCTCATGTGAATGATATGTGTAAGGCTCAGGTCAAACGTCGAACTTCACACGAGCAGAACCTAATTGAAACAATGGATGACAAGGCGGTCTTCTTTGATGTCATTAGGTTCGGCTCATGTGAACGTTGTGTAAGGCTCAGGCAAACGTAGAACTTCACACGAGCCGAACCTAATTAAAATAATGGATGACAAGGTGGTCTTCTTTGATGTCATTAGGTTCGGCTCATGCAAAGTTCGACGTTTGACATGAACATTTGTATCCCCTGTGTCATGAGGCACGTAGAGAAACGTTGTATTGCGGCGTAATTTAGTCTGTTACTTTGCGCCGTTAACGACTTTGATAAAGTGTAAAGATAACAAGGGGCTAGTATTAAAACAAAAGATTGTTTTGGCATGACGTCATAATGAAATAGGGCAATTAACTTTGGTATTTCCTTATTAGTTGAGAGTGGTCTTCCATAGAGTCG